CTCTGTCTACTCTTACTTTCTCGTTTAGCTACGTTGCGCATGCGCGCCAAACAATTTGTTAAATCACTATAAAATTGACGAGCGCATTGCATATTAAGTGGAGCACCCAAGTAATTTAAAGTGAACTGCATTGTTGTCATAGATATGTACTTGTATATACAAGTACCATATATATCCGAGGTACTGCCTGGCCACCCTTTTGGTGTTGCGCATTTTATTTGTTTAATGCAATTATTTATTTTTTTAAACCTCATATATTAGAATACTAGATGACTTAGCACGTTTGCGTCATTATTTTAAGAACTTATTCACACACAAATTAATGCCCTTTAGTCCCGATCGCTTTGCACTTCACTTAAGCGCGTGTTTTATTGGCAAATCAGACGCATAATTATAGCTATATGGCGTTCCGTTGAATTTTATTATAACATTGAATAAAATGCATGCGCGTGTGTGTGTGTGTATGTGTGCGTACACTAATCAATTATCAATTAACGAATAACAATTAACGAGATCACACGTGAGCATGATAAATTGTCTTCTAAGTATCCTGAGACAAGCAGCTGATAATGCTGCTTCTAATCGCTTGGGAAATTATTTTTTGCCATGTTGGTGGTGCTATGCGCGTTGATCTGTTTGGATGCGCAAATTCTATCACAGGTGGTCAATAATTATGACTAAGTGACGTGAGATAATCCTTGAGATTATCTTCATTATTGTAGAGTAATAAAATATCGAGATTCTCGACGATTAGTAGTAATAATGTGGCCATAACGTGCGAGATTTCGAAATTTGTAAGGAAATACGAGTATTTTAATGCTTTTTCCGGAATTAAGTGTCTACAAATTCTTTATTTCATTAGTCGGTGTGATAAAACTGAAGCCATTTAGATTGTAGTGAAATAGTTCAGCATATCTTCGCTATTAAGAATTGAACCTTGCTACCTTATGGCGGTGAAGGGGTTCGAAATGGTATTCAGTTTCCAAATAGACCTTTCCAGTCTTTATTATTAATAACAATTAGTAATAAAAATCATTCCGCTTACATAGACCTAAATATCGTGTAAGTGATTCGATGAACGATGACTTGTGTTAAATTCAGTGACTTTTTAAGTATCATTTCTATCTGTCTTTCTGGAGACCACACACAAAGATGCCTCACGTCTTGGGAACTATATCACTGTTGGCAGCTATAGATTTGACAAAGTGAAGAACTTTGTACACCTCGGAGCTAGCATAACTTTCACCAACAATCTAAGCCTGGAGATCAAGCGAAGAATAACTCTTGCCCAACAGGTGCTACTTTAGGATCGGTAGACAGCTAAGAAGCAGATCCCTCTACCGACGAACATAATTTACGCTCTATAATATATTAATATAATATATATACGCAGAAACATGAACGATGACGAACCGAGATGAGAAAGCACATGGAGCAATCGAGTTAACTGTGCTCCACAAATTCTATGGAGCCGTCCGCATGAGGGATGAAAATCGAAGAAGACGGAATCACGAACTGTATGAGCTCTACGGCGACATGGACATAATTAAGCGCATAGAAGTCCAACGAATGCAATGAACTATGATTGGACAACGGAAGCAAGGGCGTCCACTCATCCAATGGAAGAACCGAGTGCATAGCGACATGTCTGCACTTGGGATGTACAACTGGCGTGAACTCACAAAGGATATAGGCAACTGGCAAAGCTTTGTGTTCTCAGCCTAGACCGACCCACGGTTGTAGTGGCAAAGAAGAAGAAAAAGGAGTGAATTCTTATCTGTTAGCTTTTACAATTTGCAAGTGAATCTATTCATATTTATCTTGTAATTATTGAAATTTTTTCAAAGTTTTCTTATAGAGATCTGAGCAAATGTTATTCACATATTGCAGGCCATGTTGAACGCACGTAAAAAAATCAAAGAATAGTCTTCTTACTACTGTCTATGCTTAGGTTATGCCGAGGCTTGAATTTTTGGTTTCGTCAGAATTTCTTTCGTATCTCTTTATATATGAGTCATAAGAGTATTTTTAGTTAATATTATTTCAGATCACTAGTCTTTAACCAAAAAACTGACCTACATTTAGCAGTCGATTAATGGATCCTTGTTCAAAACACTTTCCAAATTCGTTACTATTTTAAACTTTTGAGAGCTATATTCATGCATGTTGAACTCTTCTTACTAAACCATTTAATTATTCTCCTTTAAAAATTGTATTTTTCTGTAATCTAAACTAGCTACTCTCTCCAAAATTAAACCGTGTACATCCCTATAGTTACAATAGCCGATTTCGATCATCGTAAATGTAGAGAATGGCGAAACGATCACACACCTGGCATAAATAAAAACTTTCTGTAGACTAATTTGATTTTCTCTCGATAATAATTTTAATCGATTTTGATTATCCCAAAGAGAGTGCCGAAACGAACACACAACTGGCATAAATTAAATTATTCTATAGACTCTACCAACTTCTCTCTTCAACGGTTAACATTAGCCAACTTCGATTATCCTAAATCTAGAGAGTGGTGAAACGAACATACAACTCGCATAAATGAAATAAAGCAAGCTAGAGATACAACTGATACGATTTTGTACTAAATTCAACCATATAACTTTATTGCTCTTTTCACAAGCCGGGCTTGACGTCGTTCCCTGCTTCTCCCAAGATCAACAAGCTTTTTCTAATAGCAGTCACCCATGACAGAACAGTAAAAACGTTGATTTGTGACTTTACTGCTATTAGTGTGTGAGCCTTGAAGTTAACTGACGAATGGATAGACCTACGAGTTTTGAAAAGACTCCAAATGACTAACTCATGGAAACTGTTAACTTCAAGGCACACACACTAATAGGAGAAATCTCACATATCATCTAATATTGTATGCGCAAATTATATACTGTTTGTATAGGTGTAGAACCTTTTTTTTTCTATTTCATATAAAACATAAAAACCACGAAATTTACGAATATATAGTTTACAGGTTTTATGACGATTCTCCGTGAACAGAATTTCTGGCAACTTATCAATACCATCTCGCTAAACCAACTTTTCTAACACCCTCAATCTTATCTCGCAAACAATGAAACAAATCGCAAACAATGAAACAAAAATTGGTTTTCAACTGATACTAACAAATGACATGGCCTATATAGCCAAACGAGAAACCCTTATGATGCGATCAATAAAATATCGTCCAAATTTATTGATGGTTTCATGTGCTGTGCGAGGAGGACTACTTTGAAGGGGACAAAATGGTTATTGATGAATAAATAAGTACTTTTCAAAAAAAATTCACCTTTTCCTTTGAACACACCTCGTATAAGTTATTACACTATTCTGCTGGAACCATTTGGTCGTTTATACTGAAGAGAAAATGCAAAAAATATGCTCTCATTTGCCTGAGGTGCTTACTACAAGTATTGTAGATGCGAAAATTTTTAAAAAGTAGAAAACACAATGCTTAGGCAAATACAAAGGGAATCAGACTTTATTTGGTTGCAAGGGCGTCTGGAGAGTCACATCAGGCTTTTTATACCCTGGTATATTAAGTTTGTCACAATGTTTGTAACACCCACAAGGAAATGCCGTAGGACCTACAAGGCATGTATGTATATATTAGGGTGGATCGAAAATTTATTTTTTTTATTTTTTGCTTAACCTGGGGGTAAAATCAGTAGATTACAATATAAAAAAAAATTTGGACAAAAAAAATTAATTTTTTTGAACATTAGAGGCAGTTTTAAAGTAAATTTTGAGTATAAAATTTTTTTGGACAAGAAAACATTATGTTCTTACATTTATATAAAAATTACCGAATGTGACCGTTTTTGACTCAACATTCATTTTAACGCTTAAGGAAAGCATGTTGTCGCTTAAGACTTTTTTTAAAACTCCAATAATAACCACAAAAGTTTTTTTTTAAGTTGATAACTTTTAATTGGCCAGAAAGAGGACTCTCCACAGCTTCTAGAACACTTATCAAAAATTGTTTACGAAATAAAAATTTTAACTCGAAAATTTACTTTAAAATTGAGTCGCCTCTAGATGTTAAAAAAAAATTTGTTGTCTGTCCAATTTTTTTTTTTTTTATAATATACAGATTTTACCCCCAGGCTAAGCAAAACAATTTTTTTTTCGCTCCACCCTAGTATATATGTATATAAATGATCAGAGTGACGAGCTGAGTAGTTTTAGCCATGTCTTTCTGTTTGTTCGTCTGTCTGTATATACGCGAATTAGTCGCTCAGTTTTTGAGATATCGATTTGAAAGTTGGCACACGTTTTTTCTTCACATAGAAGATGCTGATTGTCGAAACTACCGCTACCGGACAACTGCAGCATATACAAGTACATAGCTGCTATACTAACTGAATGGTCAAACTCAAGTTCTTGTATGGAAATTGTTTTTATTTGACGAGATATCTTCACAAAATTTGGCACAGGTCATTAACTTAAGCATTGCTATAACTTCCGAACAAATTGCTCAAATTGGACAACTATAGCATATAGCTACTATATAAATTGACCGTTACAAATCATAAAAGGGTGTAAATGTTATAAAAAATGCACACGTGAAGGATATTTTAGCTTCGTTGCAGCCTATGTTAACGTTCTTACCTGTTTCTTCTAAAATTAGGAGAGTTTGTTTATTTATGTACCGTTAAGCTAGAAATCTGTCTAATCGATGATTATTTGACATGTTACCCAATTTTGGTGGACAGAGAGCGAGGTTTTGCAATAAATGTCCACGATTTTTAAAACTTGTTCCCATTCTTCTGCTTATTTTGACAGTTACATATTTTAAGAGCTATTCCTGTAGAAAATTCTAAAGTTCTAAACAGCACACGAATAATTGATATATACATACGTATGCATGCATATATTAAGATTTATATAAATATCGTTTATCAATTTTCAAAATTAACACAACTGTGTTCCAACCATTTTTTCTTACCTTTTTCGCACTATTTTTTTTTATTTAAGAAAAACTATTTGTTTTTTTTTTTTGTATTTAAAATTTCTTTGTTTTAATTTTTATTTCCATACGAATTATTATTGTATTTGTATTGTTTCATTTCGTTACAATTACGACACACTTGCTATATATATATTTATTTATATAATTTAGTACTAAATTCAATTAGAGAATTACTAAGTTTAGCATGTCTAAATGTATATATATTTTGTCTTTATGTCTATTTATTTTTTTTTTTACTTTAGTTTGACTTACATACAACAACAAAAAGTTTATATATATGTAGATGTACGCACACATTTTATAACATTTTTCGAAAATGTTTAACTTATTACTATAATTATTAATGATTTTGTTTGCCTGACTAAGCGCTAAATGCTGTTCAAAAGTGCTTTTCAAAATAAAAAAAACATGTCACTTCTGCGCGGGTTCCAATGCCAGAAAAAGATGTTAACTCAAAATACTTTTTTTTCGAATATTGTTGTTGTTTTTTGTTGAGTAGTGATTTTCATAGAAATATTTTACTTAACTTTTTGGTCTGTTTGAGAAAGTTTTAATTGTTTTCGACTGCTGGGCTTAAAAAAGTAAGGTTAGGTTGCATTATGTTGATTTTGTGGTCAGCTAAAAAATTTTGTCTTTATTAACGGTACCTTTTTGTTTGTATTTTCTTTAAAAAAAAGTAAAAAAAAAAATATTTAATATTCTTGTTTTTAATTTAATTTTTCTTTTTGTGTTTTTGTTTTCTTCTGCTTTGCGTAATAATTCTATCGACTACAGGAAAGTGGGACAAATTTTACGTTACTATTTAATAATAATTTAACGCACTTTACTTACAATTTAAATTAGCTTAAGCTACTATATGTAAGTTTTGCATATATTATTTATATTTACAGTTTTGTGTTTGTTAACTAAAGGCTTTAACATTTAACACAAAATTATTTTAAATATTATTTGTTTGCTAAACGCTAGAAAATTGCTTTTTACAAAAATTTACAGTTTCTATATTTACTTTATTTTTTTTACATAAAATATTTCCGCTGAAATTTTAGTTTCAATTAAAAAAAATAGGATTCAAAATTTTCGTGCTTGCTTTTACTTACGTTTTTATACACAAGTTTTTATTTGTCTACTAAAACAACGGTAATTGTAAAATGTCAATTTAAAAATTTTTTTATTTAATTTTTTTTTCCTTTTAATATTATTTTTTATTTTTTTATGTGCTACTTTAAAAATATTATTGCACATAAAAACATTTTTTTTTCATTTAAAACAATTTTACTACGATTTTAATAAATTTTTTTCAATTTCGATTTTTTTCCTGATTTAAATGAGTAAGTGGTGTCTGAAGAAAAATAATAAAATTATAGAGATCTGATTTTAACTGATTTTTTGTGGTATTTTATATATACGCTCGTACTTGTATATGTAGATTTTAGCGGCAAAAAGCTGCAAACTTTTTGTTGTTTTTGTATTTGACAAAAAAAATTTGAAGAAAATTAAAACTAAAATAAAGTAAAAAAATCTACACAATACGAAATATTTTTTTTGTTGTATTTTGTTATTGATTTATTATTATTATTTTTTTTATTTTATTCATTATTTAATTATTATCAACATTTTCAGCACTTAATTCGAGTTTACTACATTTTTTAAACTGTTAAAGTTTCAACTATTTTTATTTATTTTTTTTTTATAATTACAATTTATTTATATTAATTATAAATAATTGTAATTAAATTCATCTTAGTTTCTTACTTTAATTACTTACACGGAACTATATATATAATTATATATTGAAATTATTAATTTATAACTTTAATTACAGCATTTTTTGTTGTTGTAAATATTTTACACTTTATTTAAATTTTTTTTTTTCAATTAGATAAATTTTAAATTACCTTCTTTGTGTACAATTTGTTTGTTTATTGTTTTTATTTTTCATTAAATATACGCATTGGAATTATCTATGAAAATAGGATCGGTTTGGTGTATGTATTGTTGTTGTTGTTGGTGGTGGTGCTGTTAAACCGCTGGCCAGACCCTGTAATTGGTATGAGAGGGAACACTGTATAATTAGTGAAATATGCGCTGTTTGTCGCGATTAAAAGCTAAAATTTTAATTTAATTTGAAAATATTTATATGTAATTTATTTTTTCAATTTTCTTTTTTTTTAAATTTTGTAACATATTTTGAATGTAATTAATAATTTTTAACTAAATTAAAAAAAAAAAATTTTAGATTGAAATTGATTTTTTGATTTTTTTGATTTTTAAATTAAATTTTTAAATAATTATTTGCAATTAATTATTTATAACTAATTATAAATTGGGTGTTTAATTATTTGTAGTTAATTATTTGCAATTAATTTTTTTCAATTTTCTTTTTTTTTTTAATTTTGTAACATATTTTATTTTTCAAATTTAATTTGTAATTAATTATTTAAAATTTTCATATTTAATTTTCCAATTTTATGTATTTGTTATAATTATTATTTTAAAAGTTACTAGAGCTACTTACGTTAGTAACGAAGGATTCGTCTCGGGCTGGTACCAATATTGTGGCGGTACATAGCCGCCCATTTGTGGTGGCGGATTGTGGTGATGCGATTGCGGATGTGGCGGCGCTGGATGAGGTGGCTGCGGCGTCATTTGCGGTGGTTTGTGGTCGATCCAATGTGGCTTTTGATCCCATGGCGCTTGCGTAGGCGGACTAAGACCCGTTGGAGGGAATTCTATAACACGGAGAGCAGAAAAGAGGGAGCGAGGAAAAAAATTATTATTTATAGTCAAACATTTTGAAAACTTTTTTTCACTAGATTATAATATTAAATATTAAATGTATTTGATTTAGTATTTTCAAACTATTTTTTTTTTGAAGTAATTTAATAATTAATTATTTATTTAAAATTTGTTAATTTAGTTTTTGAAAATTTTCAAAGTTTTTTTATAGATGTTACTTTTATTATTACTTAATTTTATTAAATTAATTTTGTATACTAATTTTTTGAATGTTTTTAATTAAATACAAAGTGTGTTTTGTTTACTTACCAGGTGATAACTCGGACACAGGCGTACTTGATGGCGTCGGACTATGTCCGGGAGGTAGATAATGTGATGGTGAGCCGCTATTGGAGCCACCGCCGTTATTACCGCCTGCAATGATTTTGAGATAAACTTTTTATAAATCAGTTAAAATTATTTAGTATCAAGAAAAACAAAAAAATTAAATACATATATAATAATGTCTACGTATATAATGTACATATGTATATGAAGTATGATTCAAAAAATTTTTAAATTTAGAAAAATGGAAACTACAATTTTATAGAAAACGAAAATAAATATTTTTAGTTACCATTGAGCTGTGTTTTTTTTTATTTTTTTATTTTTGCTTATGCGCTAGCCTTGAAAGCCAGAACTAAATAAATTCAATGTGATTTTCTAGTTAGTAACATTAAGATTAAATTTCTAATTATTTTTGAATTAATTTCAAATCTAATTTTTTAATAAATTTTTCATTAATTTTCAAAAAAATTTTGTTTTAAAATTCAACATTAACATTAATTTTTTTATTACTTTGTAATTAATTTCAAGTATAATTCTTTAATTATTTTTAAATTAAATACATATATAATTTTTTAATAATTTTTTTCAATTTTCATTTCGCTTAATTTCTGTTTTCCCTACATTTATTTACTAACATTGAATAATTTTTTAAGTAAATGGCTATTTTATGAATTAAATATCTTTCGATAATAATTAAGCCTTACACATACATACAAATATGCACACAAGTGTAAAAAATAACAACTTTACTTAAATTATTTTCTTCAATAAAATTTCACAACTCACCACTGTGCATATTTTGATTTGGACTATGTTGACCAGGATTTGGACCACCACCACCCAATGGCATGCCGCCGCCGGTACCAGGCGCTTGTGCAGCTTTCATCATTTTTTTGTACTTCGAGCGTCGATTCTGGAACCAGATTTTCACCTAAAGAAAAAGAAAAAATAATAATATTTTTAGTAACAATTCAAATAGTTAAAATTTTAATTAACTTTTTATTTCATTAAGTTATAATAAATTTTTATAAATAGTTCAGCATTCATTCTAAGGGAGTTAGTACATTTTACAACTTTAATAGCAATTGCTGTGGCAACTCAGTCGTTCAAAATTATTCCAAAAAAAAATATTAAGAATTAATAAACAATACGCATTATACCTACGTTCTCTTTGAAAAATACTGCATGAATAAATAAGTACTTTTATCATACACCTGTTATACTCACATACCGTTACAACATACTAAATGCTTAAATTACAAAATTCAAGCCGACTATGCATAAAACGGTACATAGTTACATACATAATAATTGCGGTGTTCATTAATTCATTGAATGAAAACTTAATTACTTATTACAAAACGCCGTCGGCATTTAACACCTCTTCGTGTTAATTAAAAATAAATTTTGCCCTAATTAAATAAATAATTATTTTAACGTTAAATTATTATAAATTGTGATTTAATTGTTGTTATTTTTTGTTTTTTGATTTTTTTTTTTTTGGAGGAACTAAATATTTTATTGAATGCATTTAATTGTTAATTTGAATTTTGGAACTTGAAAACCAGTAAAAGGGTGCAAATTCGAAATGATAAAACTTCTGACTTTTGAAAATCATATATAAATATATATTGTATATAGTAAATATATATATACCTATATATATTACATATTATATAAACATACAAACAACTGCACTGCTATGCGTCATCAGCGCCTATACTTTAGCTTTATAGGGTGTACATGTAGGTATGCATTTACATACTCGTATGTATGTACATACGTACAATGTATAAACAATAAAGCTAATGGCTACTCATAAATAATATTGGCACAATCAAAAAACAGCATTTATAGGTATAACAATAAAATTAGTATTATTGCATTGAATTGAAAAGTTTTTCAAACGCACACATATATATGTATGTATGTATATACATATTAAACCCCTGTAGAAGTAGCATTTACATTGAAACTATTTTCAACGATTGTATAAATTTAATTGTTTTTACTTATGTAATGTAATTACATTTTATTGGGTCATTAATTTGAATGCTCATCCATTTTTTTAACTTTTTTTTAGAAATAAAATTTATTGCATGAAATTTATTAGCGAGAAGTTGGCCACAGGGAAGCAGTAAATTAAAAAATATATATGTAGAAAGAAAGAAAAAAAAATGTATTTATTAAACATAAATATTCTTAGAAAACGCACACTGTTTGAAACAAATGTTATTGAAACAAAAGAATTTATTTTTAATAAAACAATTATTTATACAAATTTTTAAAAACATATAATATTTCAATAATTTTAATAGCAATAATTTTTGATTAATTAAAGTTGCATAAAAATAAAAAAAAAATTATTAATTAAAAGAAATTTCATTAATTAAGTGTTGTTAATTAAAATTTATAAAATAAAGTATTTAAAAAAATGGCAAAAATATCTATGTATTTGTAGTACATATGTCTTATATTTCGAAATTAAAAAAATATTATTAAGGCGTTAAACAACTCTAGAGCGTCGGAAAATCTTCTAGTTGGACAGCAGTATGCTAGATATCGGCGATTTCGATTTATGCGCAGTTTCTAGTGGAGAAATGGATGTGTGGAAAATTTCAGAGCGATATCCCAAAAACTGAAAGACTTTTTAGCGTATATACAGAAAGACGAACGGGCATGGTTAAATGGACTCAACTCATCATGCTGAACATTTGTATATATGTATATATTATAGGAGCTCCGACGTTTCCTTCGGGTTGTTACAAACTTCGTGGTAAACTTAACCCTTAACAGGGTGCAAAAAATGTTTGAAAATTTTACAATCAAAAATCTTGCAATTTTAAATCATGATTTAATTATATAAGATTGTGTTACTTCAAAGTATGCTTCTTCTTACGAAATTTTTTTTACTAAATAATGAGAAAAAAACTGTTTTATGAATTTTTCATTAATTTCTTATTTAAATTTTAATGATTTTGTGTAACTTACAATATATATATTTCATATTCAATTATCTTTCAAAAAACACATTTTCATTGCCTGTTTGATAAATACAGTTTTGTATCATAAAAACAAAGCCAAACAACTGATTTTGACATTATGAGTTAAAACACTTTGTCACAAATTGTCTACTTTGGGCTATCGGCTAAAGAGAGCCTATGCCTCTTCATATCACTTCTGGCTGTTTAAAACCCTTAGAAATCATTTATGTGAAAAATAAAATTGATTTGAGAACCACAAAGTGTTTTTAATCCTTAAAATCATTTTCCCAAGTATTGTCCATACACAGCCACACTATATCCTACTAAGCTTTCTTTCTAAATTTTTTATCATCTGCGAAAAATTATTGCATAAAATTCCTTGAAATCTGTGCGGTTTCGCACATTTATTTGCACCAATTCAACGAACAGCGTGTGAAATTCGACAACGCCTTAATATTTAAGACACCACTTACATAAAATACAACCACACAGACCTACAACCGTTGGCGCGCAAAACACTTCATAAACAAGTAGTAGTAACCTCAATATAATTATAAATCAATGCAAATTTAAACATTTAATCCATATATGTATATATATATATATATACATACGTATATATCAATTAAATAGCAGCAACTGTGCAATAATACATGACATAGTGAATTAATTTCTATGCCTTCTGCGTCAGTGGTTAAACGCCAAATGACAGTTGCGGCTAAACAAGTTGATAGCTAGTAGCTGCAAGCGTGTGTACAAGGCCTAAATTGTTTGGGTTTTGTGATTACAAATATTGCTTATAATATTTTACACACTAACATACCAAAAAATATGCTAAAAAATTCTGCAAGTGGCAAGAGAGTTTAACATAAGAAACAATTAAATCAAAAATTGCTAATTTTGTTAACGAAGAAATGTTTAATAAAATAAATTACAGATATTATAGCAGAAGCTAGAGAGCTCACAAGACCTTAGCTTCAAACTGTCATTTATTTACAGTTGGCAACACTACATTTTTTTTACATATACAAAATGTCGCTTTATCCAACCTAATCCTAAACATACTTTAGAAACCGTTTCCTTGTCCCCTTACTGCTTCCCAATGCTCTGCCAATAGCTCTTAACGCTAATTTTAATTTATCGCCAACCATTAGTGTGGCAACTACAAGCCAATTCGCGACCACTTTATGCCAAATAAAATTAAATTCATTGATAAGGAAATTATGCGCACAAATGAGTGGAGTGAGCAAACTTGTTTTTGTTGTTGTCGCAAATGGCTTTTCAATTGAGTTGATATGTGAATTGTCGCATTTCAGCATGTAAATGTGGCAACTATGTAGGTTGAAGTGAAAAATAGCAGAAATTATGACTTTGAGTGGTCAGGTGGGTCAAAATTAATTGGTGGTAGTAAAAGATTTGAAAGGAAAATGTATGAGCTGTTCTTATTAATGGATTGATAAAAGGTGAACTTCGCTGAAAAGCTTAATTGAAAGCAAATGTGAGGCAGTTTTGCTCACTGCCAACGTACATATTCCAATTTTTTTTTAGAAAAATTAAAAAATTTTTGCTAAAAAAATAATGCAAAAACGCAATACGATATAGTTAACTAGTTCTTTGAGTCGTCAGATTTTAGTATTAAAATTATTTTAAACCGGTAACAAGTATGAATAGTAATACAAAACTAAATTCTGTGAAGTTAAGGATGAAACGTAAAATTGATAATACAACCGAGTATCTGTAACATTTCTCTCCAGTAGAATAGATAGAACGAAGTGAATTTCAACTGGCAAGTGTTTTAAGAACAGTGAGCACTGTTTGTAAACTTATACAAGATATTTAGAGCTTTGTGTAACGAAGAGTTTAATTGAAGAGATTTTAAGATCAGTTAATACTCGTTAAATGGAAATGGCACCCAAATGTAGGCAACACTTCCTATTGTGGATATGTTGTTGTTTCTGAACTATATTAAAGTGATTTGGTCAACACTTTGATTTTTAAACTTATTTTTTTTTTCCTTTTTAAAACTAGTTGTCATAAGAATTCGCGATACCTAGCCCTTTGGTCCAATGCATAACTGCTTTAGTAACTCATTACTTAAAAAAAAACATTTATTTTTACTAAAATTTAACAAAAAAAAACTAAAATTTATTAAAAATATTATAATATATAATATAAAATATTAATAATACAAAAACTTATTTAAAGAAAAACGTATAAAATAATAAAAAAAATTTAACAAAACACTTTTCAGCACAATAATTCAGCAAAAAATGTATGCAATTAGAAATTAAAAAAAAAAATTTCATTGACAATTAAAAAAAGAACAATATTTTAAAAATTAAAAATATTACAGGGAAAGTTTTTATTTATAAAAATTTAAATGAGCTTAGAAAAAATAATAAAACATATTTGTATATCTTCAGTCAGCAGATATTTCTTTGTGTATTGTGTGTGTATATGTATAGAAATCTTACATTTTAGATGAAAAATGCAAATCACTTGCAATTCAAAAGCGCTAAAATTATCAATTTCAATTATATAACCAATTTTCGACGCGATTAACTCGCCTGTGAATTAATAATTTTCATCGTAAATTAACATTGTTCGATCGCGCAGAAAAGCAGAACGTGTGAAAAGTGCTCAGATGTGTGGCTGCTGGCAGGTAAAGCGGACATGAAAATGCTTACAAGCAAAAAGTATGGTCGGTTTTACATATATAGACGCATATTGTACATATGAACATATATAAATTTCGATACATACAATTATATATATACATATACATATATAATATGCATGCAGCGCTTGCATTTAGCCACTAATCTCTGCAACTAGCCAACGGCATGTCGAAACAGGTTAACCGCCGTGGCGATTATTTAATTTGTATAACAGTTTTAGTATTCTGTAAAATGCAGATTTGCAACGCACACGCTGGCAATAAGTGCCG